ATTATTGTAGTTTCAATCGTTTTAATCATTTTCAATAAATACCAGCCAAGAAATGTGCAAAAAACGATGTTTTGAGTGTAAGAAAATTCCGCTGATTTTTCAGGTTCCCAGAAAAACTACCGAAATCGATAAAAAAAAATCTAGACGTGGTTCCGGACATTCTAATGATGCAGAAGTGTTTGTTTTGAGGTCCTCTATACAAAACGCCATTGGAATTTCTCTTGTGCGAAAACATGTGTTGTACGGTGCTGTCTTCGACAAAGTGGTAGGGCACATAAAGTACTACAACTTTGCCCAGAGCATAAATTCGTTATCTCTTATCAGTTGCGCGAAACACCGCGAAAAACGTAAGATATCTCTTATCATTTTTCGCGGAACTGATAAGAGATAAGGAGGTGGCGAATAGAAAAAAATTGTATAACTCGACCCGCTCAATAACTTTGCTGAAGACAGTTATCACTTATCTTTTATCAGTCTCATGAAAAATAAGATGGCATGCATACCTTATTCCCATACAAATGCATACAAATATATAGGGGTCCAGCCAGACCCGAGGTGAGCGATCTAAGGGTTTTAAATATGTGAATGAAGGAGGGTTAATTGTTATATAAATATTGTAAATATGCAACCAAATATTTATAACAAATAAACCACCTCTGGCGCAGAAACGCTGTATGGTGGAGAATAATAATAATAAAGGACGTATCGACGCTTACACATCGATATTATCATATTTACCTATAAAATGTAAATTTACAATATTAACAAGATTTCTGATATCACAGGATCGCTAAATAAAACAAAATTTTAAGAAACTTTTCAAATAATAGAGGATTGGTGGATCTACTGAAGCAGGCGGCTGGAAGCTACTACAAACCAACTGCCGCCAAGCGCATCTAGCTAATGAAATACTGAGCAAAAATATGAATAACTCTCACAAATCCACAGAACTAGTGGTTGAAAACATGCTAGAGAGTATAAATGCTGGTGTGACTTTTATGAAAATTAATATTTTATCCTCTGGTCAAATTTTCATTTGTTTCCTCTAAAAAACGCAAAATTGAACACGGTATTTAAGTGACATCATAGGACGCTCTGCATTTGAAGTGCATCAAAATTGATGGCTTTCTTGTTCTACGAATTTTTTTAATCCGACTAAAGGCTGAAAGAATTTTACCTTTCTGTAACTGAATTACATCAGGAAATTGATCACTCGGCAATTCCACACGAAATTAAAGATGAGTTGTAATGTGGGGTCGCCAAATTGGCTGAAAATTGGCTTGGAGTCTTGTTTTCCATAGAAAATGAGAAAACCAAAACCTTGAGGCTGTAAGTGAACCACATTTTCGAGTTCAACCAGTTCGAGTTCATCGATTTCTCGTCCAAAACTACGTGGGAATGGACTCATCACTCTCGAAAATCCTGCCATATCTGTTATTAATATACCTTGTAGTAAACGCGTTCATAGTGTTTCACTGTAGTAGCGGTGTTACCTATTAAATTTTCTTGTAGTAATACTACAGTGGAATTTAATAGGATACTTTGCTACTACAGTGAAACACTATGAACGCGTTTACTACAAGGTATATTAATAACAGATATGGCTGATTTTTGAGAGTGATAACAGTCCATTTTAGATGAGTTTTCTATGCCATAAGTGTGATTTTTTATGCAGATTTTGACCATTCGCTTGCTCCATTCAGAAATGCCGATTTCTGACCAAATTTACAGGTAAACCGATGTTCAAATGATCGTATCTTTATGTATTTTGGCAAAAAAAATAGCAGTTTCATATGAAAATGTCGTGGTCAAAAATGACATATGATTTACCTGCCGAGGCCAAATACACAAACAGAATGGTGGTAACACACGAAATTCGGTTTTGTAGCTCCATCAATTTCCTTTCCAACGGTACTATAGGTTTGGCAATGTGTCAACCACTTCACAGTTAGATTTAAGTTCGCGCAAACCCTTTTTTCCGATTTTCTTCAATTTTTCGAAAAATTTACACTGGGTGAACTCGAAAATGTGGGCCACTTTTTGGTTTTCTCATTTTCTATGGAAAACAAGACTCCAAGCCAATTTTCAGCAACACAGCAATTACGTTTATTTATTACATTTTGTATGAACATGCAAACTGCCTAAACGTGCGTGACGATATTGCATCAGGTGTAGCAAATCGTAACTTGCGTCGCAATGAATATTTAAAGATCAAAGGCAAGGTCATGAAATCGACTCTAACATCTCCAGTGCTACAATGTGTAACCAGTTAATATTTTGGTGCTAGGCGTGTTTACATATATTACAACTCGTACAAATTTCATTTCGTCTGTACACAAAACCCCTGATTATCCGAATCGAGCTATTGACGAATTATTATTTCTACAGGATAAAGATATCCAACTACGAAATGTTGTTATAAATTGTTTTATCAAACACCCAAAATCCACAAGGATAGATTTTCCATAAATTAATAGATATTAGGTAACGTCAAATTCAAAGCACTGTAAATATTTTCTCAGTACAATTCACTCTAGGCACAAAAGCTTTTTTCTATTTGATAACAGTTCTTGAAGGATATTTTTGCTGCCGCACTGATACTAATCAGTTCATTTGGCATTTGAAAAAAGGGGAAAAAGTCATCATTTATTCGATAGTTAAAATAATAGGATGTTCTATTTATACATTGTACTAGTTTATTCAAGTTTCAGAAAAGTTCATGATTTTAATTTGTTTTTTATTTACCCGATAATATTAGAGGGTAATGAATTCACATGTTATCGTTTTACCGATTTCACGTAATCAACTGGTGAATCACCCAGCGTTAAACTAGTACATGCAACACAGACTTTGATGTGCCTGTTCACGTGTATGTGCGCTTTTCATATGGCACTGTTTTAGATTTCGCCTGTGGTAAACACAAACTATTATTCAATGTCAAATTGAGAATTAGGTTGCATCAATGTTCCTTTGGAAACGTTTACCAAAGGTTATCATGGACCGTTTGCCATAGACTAATATCAAGCATTTCCATCTTGGTTGTATGATTGTTTTTTTCGTTTTCATGTTCCTACTATTGTGAATACCGCATGATGTATGAAAAGAGCCAGGTTTTTAACGAGGCGAGAACTGAAAGTTTTGAAAAATTATCGCTACCAAATGTTTATTATTTTAAGTATGTAACAGTCTTGCACTCTTTTCCGGCCAAACCTTAATCAAAAACCCACATTATATTCAGCCAGAGCTTGGCGGTGTTTAATAAAATAAAAATAAAATAAAAATTGTCAAATGAACTAATCCTGGGCACTATAATATTAAATTTATTGATAACAAAATATGTGACCGCAATTCGAACTTGTAGTTTGAATCAGTATAAATGTTAGATCTTATCGGTAGTATTGCATGAATGATTAGGTAAGGCTGGATCCGAACTGATTGTTCGTTAAGTATGAAATTTACTTTATGTGCAAGGCTTGAAGGAAACTTTCAGAAAAGACACAATCATAATAATTGACAAAAAAAAACTTCATTCATATCGATTATAAAAAAATCGTTTTTATTCATTGTAATTTCTTATTATGTACATCTGTTGTTTACAGATACATCGGTCATTGGTCAGTGTTTTTGGTACCATTTAACATTTTTGCAATATTTGCAAGAAAGATAACAATTCCATATTAGTAACAACTAATAGTATGAACATACAAAGTATTAATTCGAATTTTCCAAATTGATCGACTTGATATTTTCAACATATAAATACATTGACTATATTATTATTTTTATAAAGAAAATTGACTTTTGTTGAAGTCAAATCTTAAGGACGTTAAATAGAAAGTTCATTGTTCAAGTGCAAGTAGCGAAATACATATCAAATAGTGAATTCCGATTTTTCGGAATTGTAAACAAATGTTTTCACATAAATTACCAACAGTAATTTGCGGAAAACGTCAAAAAAATCATTTCGAATGTATTTGAATTAAGTTGCAAATTATATGCTCGCATTTTTTATAGCTTCATTGAAGTTAGTAATCACATAATCGTGGTAGTACATCATCACTCTGAAAAAAAATAAAACGTAAGTATATTACAAAAAATGTATCGTGCTTATCGTCCTCTTCGCTAACCCACTCCTCACGACATGACTTAATATAGTATTTTCCAATCATCAAACTATCAAAAGGATTGCTTCTGGGGTGATCATTATGAATCACTTTTCGATATTTTCGGGTTAATTTAATATGATTTTTTCAAACAGAGCATTGAACTTACGCGAGAGGTTGTCCCAGAATTATTGATGCCCAAACAACCAAATTTCCCCACCGTGGCCCATATTCTTTCTCCATAAATTTTGACAAGTATGACAGAGGAATTTGTCCCATCATTCCCATGAATGCCCATATTTTGAATGTTTTCAGTGGCACACTGACCTGAAAGAATTCATACCATATAGCGCATTGTTTTCTAAGAAAGAAAAAAGGAATATCTTTTCGTGCTAATTTCGTAAGTCTTATCATGAACTGAGTAGCTTATAAGTTATAACACTAAATGGCATTCAGAACGAATGTTTTCATCTTGAATGCAGATCTTGTGGAGATGTATTTATCCCAAGGAACAAAAATGTAACCATTTTCAGTAGATTTCACCATCGCGTAATGTAACGTTTTGGCCCATTTTCGTGGTAATTTCAGTGTTATATTTAACGTGGATTATGTGCATGGTTCCCAATAAAATGACACCTTCCAATGAAATATTTTAACGCAATGCATATTATTCAAAATGTAACAAATAACGGACGGTTCACATTATGCTCGCTCCACTCTATACAGACCGTACAGCAGATATACAAACACGAAAGAAAGAATGTGAGAATGAACCGCATACAAAAAGAACATTCAACTAACATAGCTATGTGTACTGTTGCTCTCGTGTATTCTCTCTCTCTTTGCTTCTTCGCTTCGTTCGTTTCATTCTTGTGTGTGTGTGCTGGAGCAAGAATATTTTCATAACAAATCGAAGTGTGACTGTGGCGATCGAATCCGTTAGAATCGAATTGACAGCTCTTACTGTTGCTGCGTGAAGAACAGTGCAGTTTTTGTGTTCTGAATTTCATAACGATGCGAAATATCTATTTTGAGTCGAATTCAAACGAGATTTTGAGTGTTCATCAACACATTTTTCTGGATTGTGCTGTTGTATTAGTGTTGCATTTGATTCGGTTGTGATTTCTGACTAACAGGACATTTGCAAAACGACAAGAGTACAATATTCAAAATTCAGCATTGCATGGTCAGTTTGGTGTCAGAATTCGTTGAGGCAAGTTGATTGTTGTATTGATGGTTCATTGATTGTTTCTCCAAAACAAATTGTTAATTTAGTCAGTGTTTGATCGAAAGTGCAATAATTCTAATCAATTTGTTCACCATTTTCATTTTCATTTTCATTAGATCAAATTTGGTGAGCATGAAGAGAAAGCGGGCCCAGAACGGGCGACCGAGATCGGTCAAACTATCGCTGAATTCGGTTCTCCGGGATCAATATCGCGCGAATTTTGTGGCACAAGTCACCAATTGGTGCCACACAGCCACCGTCATCACCGTTTTGGCGTCATTGTTGTTTCTCTTCGAGAACAACCGAGCATTCGATAAAGATAACCATGACTTCTTCAGAGGCAATGAATACGAATTGATCAAGGATTGCTTCAAGAACATTTTGAACGAGAACCGACACAAATTGCCGTTGGCCTTCCGCCAAATAATCGAAACAGCAGTGCCGAACTTCCGATGGCCACAACGTGAAGGCATGGGAAACGCATTCAATCAGCTCATTGATCAATACACCACCAATGTCAAGAACAACATCAAAACGTGGTGCTACACCCGTATCAAAACGTTTTTCGTGCTGCAACGGTATGAGCTCAATTTGCTTGGCCATAACATCAGCGACATCGATGTGAAAAATGCCACCAAATCAGTTATGTTCAACAATATAGTACCAAGTGCGAATGTGGTGCGGCTGCTCGAGCAAGCGCGTATGATCGGAATACCAGTCGGTACGAAGTTATGTGATCTCGTCCGTGGTAGTTGGTTCCAGACAATACCGATATTCATCACCATTCAACGGCTAGTGTTCAACCACCATGAAAGATACGAGCTCTTGAATGATCTCTGGCGCCGATATTATCGGGATCGATTACACAACGCCATGCCATCCATTGCACGCCCACCGAAAATAAAAAACTTTCGTGTAATTCCGATTCATGACTTCAAGATGAAGCACATCCGGATCGATATTCATCTGTTCTATCAAATGGCGTGCAAATTGGGTGCCATCAAGTTGGCAAAAGGATTGTTTGGCCAGCCGGTTAACATTTCGAAAAAGGTCTACGACAGCAATCCATTTGTGTCCTGGGACACAATATTCAACATGGACAAGATTCAGAAAGTCGGCAATCGCAAGACATTTGACTACACAATCGTGACGGATAGTGTGGCTGTTTCGTTGTGTTTCCTGAAGCCAGAATGCCCCTCACACGAATATTCGCACGAGCAAATCAACGAAATGTACGAAAATGGTGTTTTCCGCTTCGTGCTTGGCATGGATCCTGGTGTGCGAACCTGGAATGCCACGGTGCGAAAACATATCGCATCCGGTGTGGAAGTGAGTAACAATGATTTGTTTGTTTGTTTTGTCAGTCATTTCATTTATATGCATATAATCATGATTCTTTGTTCTTATTTATTTCACACAGGAAAACATCACGATCGACGGTCCGAAATACCATTTTCGAGCGAAATATGGCAAACGAAAGCGCAAATCGGAAAAATGGCTACGATTGTTCACCGAATTGGAGCAACATGACCGAAATCAATATCCATTCTATCCATCGCCCAAGGGAGCCTCAAATTGGATGAGTTACATCGAACATCGTGTGAAAATGTTGCAGCCTGGAATGGAGGTTTACACAGCACGCAAATACATTCGCCTCAATCTCGATAAACATATCGAGGAGACCCGTGCAAGTGATACCATCGCTGCTTTTTTGACCAGAAAATTACCATCGCTCATTTTCCTTGGTGCAGCTCAAATGGCTCCAAATTCGCCAATTGGTATTAAGAAACGGTTGCGGTGCCCTGGTGTACGGAAACTACTGAACAGCTTCAAGAAACTGCACAATTGTGTGGTGGTGATGGTTGACGAGTACAAAACATCGCAGACGTGTGCAAAGTGCTTTCGGCCATTTGATCGACGTACAAAAAAGGACCGCTACAAAGTCTGCCGTCAGTGCATTCCACATGCAGCAAACATCACGACTGACAAACACCTGAGCAGTGTGATCATCAGCAAGAAAAGCAACCGGTCGTATCAACGGAAGCGACGACATGTTGTTGCGGAATATGAACGATTGAATGTACATCCAGTGTATTCACATGGTTTAGTGCCGAAACTCAATGTATGGTTCAAAAACTGGCAGCTAAACACTGATAACACATGGAACGATTCACGTCATCCACATCAACAGAACACTGTTTGGCATCGGGATGAAGTCGCTGCCAAGTGCATATTGTACAAAGGTATGTATCATACATTGAAAAAAAAAGTGAAATATTCTGGCTAACAATTGTTGTTTGTGATTTCGGTTGTTTCAGGTCTTTGTATGATAAAGGGCTTGGATGTGCATCCGCAACTGTCGAGACAACATCATGCAGCAGCTGCAGCCGCGCAGAACAATGCCGAAGGCGACCAAGATGACAACGATAGCGACAGCGACGATGATTACGTTTACGTTCTCGACGACGTGTCCGATGAAGAATAGTTTTTAGTTGATGTAGGATTAAGTTTTCAAACAATAATAATTGTAACGTTTTGTTACTTTGCTGGGCTTTGAGTATTGTGGCCTTGTCCGAAGTACGGGGCTTAGTCGGATCATATAAAATACCTCGTAGGTGAGTATCACTATTTATTAGCATATCGAATATTGATTCATAATCGTTTTTATATCATTCTAATTGATTTGTTTTTACTGTTCTTTTTCTACTTCCATTGTGACGTTAAAAATGACTGAAACTACACCCAAATGTGGGCCCAAATTCAACCGTTTACATACGCTTGGCAATGGATGTATTTGAGTTAACAATTGTTCCTTGGGATAGCTATGGTTTGCACACTCCACTTTTATTTTTGCATCGAAGCGAGTTTAAACCACGGCCGTAGCCAGCACAAATTTCTTGGATGAGCGGAGAGAATTTTTGGGTGAGCGCAGCAAAATTTGATGATTATGAAAATGTCATTAATTTTGAAAATCGATTCTGTCTAGAGTAAAAGCCACAAATAATCAAATAATGTATAAAATGTGATTTTATAGAGATCCCAACCCTTTGGAATTTTATTCCTTTTATTCCAAAAACGCTTCATTCACAGATTCACACTATATCACGGTGAAACACGTGATTTGTAATTTCTAGCGAATCGTCAGGATTCTTAATCCCATCAGATTCAATTTAGTGTCTGTAATAATTTGAAATTGTTATTGGTATTGTATTGCTTGAACTTTATAATATGCCACGTCAGAACTAACATATCAATTTAAGACAACGGTTTACACTGTGTTGATGTTGTCAATTTGATGCAGAAATTTCTTGAAAAACCAATACACACCACAGCCATTGTAAATTAGTTATTATCAATAGGAAAATAACTCAAACGATTCGCTAGAAATTACGTATCTACAGAAATATAGATTTTCAGTATTCAGTTAGAAAATCGTACTATAATTAGAGAAATTAGGACATTTTTCAATATAGTTGACCAATTACTTTTGCATTGATGTGGTCAAAATGTTTTTACTTTAATCATCATTCTCTGTTGTCATTTGTATCGCCGTACTCGTAACTCATGTTGTTGGTTTTGTATTGCCTTAACCCGTACGTAACTTGCCTTAACCTGTACTGATTTTCATTTTACGTACGGGTTAAGGCAATACAAAACCAACAACACTTTAATCATCATATTTGGCTTCAGTTATGTTGGTTAAGTGTAATAAAAATATAATTTGTGTAATGTTCAAATGAAAAAAAATTAGTTGCGAGCGGAGCGAGCAAAATTGTTCAGAGGATTCTTAATTACAGCGAAAACTATAGCTAAAATAATTTTGGGAGTCGAGCATTTTTAGGTGAGCTCAAATAATTTTTGGGTGAGCTGAGCTCACCCAAGCGTATGGCTGAATACGGCCGTGGTTTAAACCGACCTCACCAATATTGTAGTAAACTCATCAACGTTTAAATGCCTGAGATTAGAATTTTTTGAACAGATTACACAAACGAGAGTTTCAATTGATTACTAGAACCATCAACATCTCCACTAAATTCCGGTACTAAAGAGTTCACTTACTAAATATTCGTGGAAGAATGCACTAATGAAAAAGACAATCAACGAAGCGGCCGTCCGGCTATAGCCCAAGTCAACAACAGGAATGTAAACGTGCCGCACGCACCACCGATGCACAGGCATATTCCACGTACGCCAAAATGTGTCGATATTATTTGCATTCCACCAGTCACAGTAGAAGTTGCGGTCGGCAAAATGTAACAGCTCTCCAACGAGATTCAGAAACGAGTGGAATGTTAAATAGAAAAAGCACAGCCAAACAAAATGATTGGGGATCTGTATAATGAGTAAACTTTGAATGATTTTGTAAGGCCAAGAACAATTCATTCTTTCTTCCAGCTTACCGCCAGCTTTAGAAGCCGTTCTGTTGCTTTAGCTACATCCATGTTTGAAAACGGAATCAACGAATTCCGAACAGACGGTATCATCCACTGTTGAAACAGTCCCAAAACCACATTAAATCCGATAAGAACCTCCAAAATTCGTTTAAGAAGAAATCGTTTTCGAATTCGATCTGTTCTGGGAAAGTTCAATTCATAGCACAATGTTGGTGCACATAAGAAATACAACAAATCCTTGACAGTCAGGTTGTCTGGGTATTGAACCAAAGGTGTGATGTCTCTGTCGGTCTTATGGAATGATGCTAAGTATGCTCCGTTACGTTCTTCTTCTGTAATTCGGAAAAAAATTATTATATGATATGAACTATAAGATGAACATTTGGCAGTTTGGTAAATTAAATTAAAACTTACGCAACTCTGCAACAGTAATACTTTGCGATCGGCTGCGTGACTTGTTTGGTATATCATTTAATTGATTTCGACACCACATATTGACCTGAACGTAGCTCCATAATTTCATGAAGAGTATTGAATAGTGAAAACACACTGTCATAGCACCAACTAGAATTATGTATGATATCATAATATATAATTTAGAGATTATAATACACATTTTTGACAATATTCTGATTTTCCGAGTATGAGAAATCGTTTTATGTATATATTTGTAAACAATAACAAACTTACTCCTAGGGGCATTTAACTCGAAAAAAATTCGTTTTATGCGAAGAATATGCGCTTCAACTCATAGTATGTGGCGATTTCTTCGTACTATGCGTATTATGCGGTGCCTATTCGTTAGAAGTGCACACATTCGATGTCCGAATACTGCACATAGACCATTCATACTGCGAATAATTTCGCATGAATCCCACTAAAATGTTTCCTTCTCTGATTGGTCACACGCCACAATATCGACTATTTTGAATTCAAAGTGCAACGACTTTTTTCATGTAAAAATTCAAGAAATACTTGACTACAAGTGTTTGATTTGTACTTATTTCGGCTCACATTTTTTGCTGATCATTTTTGTTAACTTCAATCATTTGTACATATGGATTTTTTATTATTTATAATCCAGATGCTATTTACAAGTATAATGAATCGTCGCACTTATTTTTTCAACGATTTTTATATCTACCAAAACTATCGGCGATTCTACTTCAATATTTGTATAATATAACATTTTGATTTTCGTTTTCATTCTTATTCTTTGCTATTATTTTTTAATTTTGTGTTATATTTAAATTCAATTTTCATCAATTAAGAACAATCTCATTAGCAAGAGATTTGATAAATATTAAAGACAGAAATTGTTGATGTCAAATATTGTTTGAACGAAACTTAACGATACAACAGAATGTTGACATTGTGTTGATGCGTCTTAAATCGCATCGTGGCGTCATTATGTGCACGCGTATTCGCTTCTATGCGTAATATTCGTGACTATGTGCAAAATTCGACACACTTCACTGTGGCACACAATCTATGCGCGTTTATCCGTACAAATCACATATATGAAAAAGAGTAAAAAGCCCCTAGACTTACTCAGACTGAATGAGTCCCCGTTGACGTGGATTATAACCATGGGTATTAGCACCAACACCATGATGTTTATGATATGAACAAACATTCCAGCACCTTCGCGGATAATATTCAATGACATTCCTCGTTCTATCAACAAACATATCAGTATGGGCACGATGGAGTCTATGAAAAATTGTATTCAGTTCATTTACTCAAATAATATATACCAATATTCACAGATATATTACACTTACAAAGTAGTAAAATGATTGAAGGAACGCCAGCTCCCTCATCGCGACCCGTAAGTACAACGAACCATTGAAATGGATCGACTCTTATACCATATCTGAGGATAATGGATCATTAATGATAATAGACAATAAACAGTAATGGTAATAGAAACGTACTTCAACAAGTTTTCCAAAAGTAACCTGAAACCGCTCATTGTCAGGAGTAGAAATCCCCAGTTCACTAAACCCGTGAAATTATGGAATCCTGAACTCCATGAAAACAATGAATCCCGTGGCCTGTGGCATCTAATTATTTTGGAAAGAAAGTAGAGAAGGATAAAATAATATTATTCACATATGCGATCACAAAAAAAAACTTAGAAGAAAAACACCTGTGGGTTGGCATTTTAATAGAAGAACAAACATAAATGTCTCGTATAAATTAAAATATTACACCCTCTAATTTCAGTTAGTAGCTATTAAGTATTTCAATGAAAAATTGTGAATTACAAAAGGTGAGCTACTTTTATTTTATGGATACTAATTAGTGTAACTTTAATTTTCTGGTTGCCGATTTTGAAGTCTGCCAATTATCTCCTCAAATTGAAAAAAAAAACAACAACAGCAACAAAAACATTAAGAATAAGGCATCGAAATTATTCTAAATTCTATGTGTTCATTTTTCGTTAGAAAAATTAACCACAAAGGAAAAATTTACATGACTTGAACGTGTTAATAATCGAATTGTAGTTACAAAAACTTACGGTTTATCAGGTTGTGATCTGCGTTGCTTCTGCTGTTTTGTGGAAATCTCTTCGGCGCGAGTCACACTGCGGGTCCTCCGTCTAATTTTATCGTTCCCGAAGTCTTCTGTATCTGATGTCATGTTTTTGATTCTTTTCTATTACTTTTTTTCTTTACAAAAAATGAAAAAGCCAGTTTTAAAGGTTTGTAGCAATCATGAATTAGTGTAATCAATGACAATTTTGTGTCTGTCTTATTATCTTTAAATGTGCTACGCAAGGTTAACAACAATAAATTAAGGCTACGCATAAAAACGCAGTACACATACAATCTAAGATTGATTATATTTCGTTTTTTTTGTGGTAACGGTATTTATTTATTTTCCAAAGAATATTTGCAGACTGAGCAAGAAGACAATGTTTTGAATTAACGTTTTTAACTTTTACAATTCCAACTTACTGTGTAAAACTTTAATTATAAATTTGGACTATGAAACATCAATTAATTTTACCAAAATCACTGCAATGAACTTTGAAACATCAATCGTAATGTTATCTTAAATCTCAACAAAAAAAATACATGTGCGATGTGTTGAGACCGTAGGAATACTGATCAATGAATGTCAACGCTGCGCTAGTGTTTCGATGTTGTCAACGTCAAAAACGAGAAAAGAGAGGGAATTTCTGTTTACTCAAAAAATGTGATACAAAAATGAAAAAAAACATAACTAGACTAATGTTTGAATCATAATTTGAGCATTTCAACGAGTCATTTTCATGTGCCGAAATGTATTCAAAACGATAAAATAAAATGAAACTCATGCAAAGTAAATATATGGCTTTGCTTCATGCGTGTGTATTGTCGACTGGAAACATAAACAAGAAAATTATGAACGCTATGTCCCCAATGTGAGCATTTGTTGTGGCTACAAATTAAATTAACTTTTCTTTATAAGATTGGGGCTGAGAAGCAATTTTTTAAATAATAGAATTATCATTCGTTGTCAGTTTTAAATAATATTCTTGGACACTCACTTGAATAGGATTCAAATCATACTGAAACAAAACAAAAATTAACGAAGCAAAGATGAAATTTTCGAAGAAGAATTGCCAAAGCGACATCTACATGACATACTGGAAAAAGCAGAAATTATGAAAATTCTTATAAGTCAAAATCAAAACATTTTAGTATGTGAATGACAGTCAGTTTGTGAGTAGGTGAATTAATATTTAAATTTTTGAATAAAATCATAATTTCAATTTCAATTTTAATTTTAATTTCATTCAACTCTAAAAAAAATAGTTTGAAGTTGATATTTATACAAGATGATGCGTCGAAATTTAATCGTGGTTTTCAAGCCAGTTAAAACGAATTCAGTAGTTTTATCGGAATTAAATCATCGATTGATGATGTTAAACGTAAGATTTGAGACTATTTTCTTTCACAAGTGAATACAAGTAACATGAATAACGACCTTCTCTTTCGCTGATTACTTACAGGATAATAAAAATAGTTGCCTGAATCTTGTTAACAATAATGTTGATTACTACTGTTCCTGGCTACCATATGGAAATCAATCAATACGAGACACCGAAATTGGTATCAATTCATCTGTAGCAGAAGCAATAGGTACATTATTTCTAAAAATATCTCAACAACGTAGAAAATTTCGCACGCGCGGGTTGAAATGTTTTCTGAATGAAATATTTCACCAAAAATACTAGTGCGATGTATGACGTTTCGAATGTTTGCGTACACTGGTGAGTGTCGTAATTTGACAATGAAAATGCTAAACTTTATTTGTGTGCGCGACATTGTGTTTTGATCGTCATGTGTTTATTAATACTTCAGTGATTCACATGATTCGACTCCTTTTCATGCTGCTTTGTCACTGACGTCCATTGCATACAGACATTAGTATGATTATATGTCGTATAAATTCAAACTCGATTTTCGAATGGATGAAATGTACAAATTTCAACACTATTTATTTCATAGGATTGTATGAAGGCGCAATTTTAAGTTGCAAAGTCGTAGATGATTTGCCAACGTTGGACACAGTTTATGTCACTGCAACGAATCAAAAAGATTGGGAAATACTCGTAAGTATTGGCTTGAATAACAAATGTGAAATATTATGAGTTGACAAAACTGTTTTCTTCGCGTAAAAGGAAGCATCTAGTTACCGTATACAAAACACATTGCTGGATCAAACCCGTATAATAAATGAGGATCAAAAACTGATTGTCTGGGTCAATAGTGCCATTCACATAACATTAAAAATAGGTACTTTCTTGCATGTTTTAAAAACGTCGAACGTGCATCTCTTAAACTTCTCATTTCGATTGCAGAAAAACTTCAACCAGAAACGAAATACGGTAAAATAGAGAGAAACACTGAAATCATTGTAAAACCATTCAATAGTGCAGTTCAGTCTGACAAAAAAGTAGAAAGTAAAATAGAATCTCTTTCGAAACACAACAACGAGAGTCAAAATTTGAATCACAGTCGAAATCAGAATCAGAGTCAGAGTTCATTGTACGATCGCCTGTATAAAAAAGATGAAAAAAATGAGCATACCTCTTCATCGCCACAGCGGCAACATGAACCGCAGTCGAAGACAAATGGAAAAATTATTGATAGTACCACTTTAGACAATGTTTCGGAAAAATCATCTGACGAAGACGACTCATCGGATGAAGACTCAGACGGTACAGTTTACGATGGAAATGCACAAACATTTACAAACAACTCTAATTCATCCCTGTTCAACAAAGACGAGTCCAATTCGAAGAAACCAAAGATTAAACTACCCAAATTGGATGTTCAAACTCGTTTATTTGACGCCATGTTAGCCGAACTAAAGAGTCAAGATCGAAAAAGTTACAAGTTCAGGGCGATACCAAAGAAATGGTGCAACCGTTTCCAGATGTCTGATGTATTTTTGACAAAACATAATATCCCCGATGATCTTGATCCAAAAACAATTTACATAATGAATGGTGAAGTCCTGAACGATAATGGCGAATTAGTTGCAAAGGAATATTATGTCAACATAAAAGTGGTTGCCGAATCTGCTGAAATCCCCAAGAATATTTACCCGTCAATAGAATTACATGATATTCTGTTGGCACAAATGAAACTACCAAAATTTAGCCGTGTGACATTGAGCACCAAAAGAACTGTCTTAAATTTCGTCGAGAAGATTGAGTTGATACCGGTCAATACGTCGGAAGTTTGTAACAAGCAAGACATTATGGAAGATTTCAAGCGGTTACTGATCAAATGCTCACGATCGGCGCCATTACTTATAAATCAAGAACAAATATTCAAATTGTGTGAAGGAAATGGTTTTGTAGTTGCAAAAATCTACCCAGAATCGTTCAGATATTGTTTATGTGATGCAGAAATACTACGTGAAAACAAATTATTTATTTCAGAAAACCAAAGAGATATTATGCAAACGCTAACAGCTGCTGAAGAGATTCATTCTCTTCGCAATTCAAAACAAAATGAAGAAACGAAATCATTGGTGTATTTGAATGAGAACGAAAATATCATTGGGGATTGTTTAGAATATATTGTTCAAAAGAGTTGTCTAGACGAAAGTAATCGTTTGCGTAAGCCAAATAACTATCTGATAATTGGATCGCAGACGACGGGCAAATCAACAATCTGTGCGAAAATCATAGAAAAGCTGGAACAACCTCCGTACAATTGTCACATAGAAGAGTTTAATTGTGCTCAGAACAAGGCGAGAAAGGTTCGTTATGTATACGGAATCAATTGTAAAGCATTTAGGCCAATTCCAAAAAAAATCCACTGTATACAGAAGGGGATTAATTTGAAAAGAATTTTATCATTTTTTGTTGCAGGCGGAATCAATACAGAGGGATTTACGCTACATTTTCACGCGGTGCGTTGAGCGTGCCCCATCCGTTTTACTATTGGAAAACTTGGACACATTGGCAAAATCAGTTTCAGATCATTCTCAAAATGGAGACTACTACAATCAAATTTCAGATATAATCAAATATATGATCTCCATGTACACGGAGAATTGTGCAATTTCTTTAATTGCAACGGTCACAAATATCAATAATTTGAATCAACGTTTGTACACCTCCCGTGGCAATCATATTTTTGGGAAAATGTACAAAATTCCTGAATTGACAAAGGTATGTTCGAGAAAATCACAAGGCAAATACAATAGACGTCAACAGCGAGTACAACTACCATTTGGTTTGACGTTTTGCTATTAAGTTAGTTTAAGTAGCTTAAATGTAAGTTAAGTTTAAGTAAAGTACTGAGTTTCATGTCAAGTCTACTGGTAAGTCTAAGGTTTAAACTTAATAGTAGACTTGACATCAAGCTCAGTTCTTTTAATGATTTCTACAAAAATCAAAAGATGGCGTTAGGGATCGAGCATTTGTCTTGTGGAGAAAATCTCCATGAATGTATTCATCTTGGGTCTATGAATGAAAAAATGTGTTTGTTTTATCATCTAGGAAAATCGACAAAAAATCATCTATGAATTGAGTGTGAACAATGATTTGAAGTGTGACAATTTGAATTTTACCAAATTAGCAAATCTGACTGAAGGGTACACTATAGGATACCTACTGCAATTCATTGACCGAGCCATGTTTTATGCATATCGTAATGGTATGAGAATTGTGCATTTGCAACGAGTATTGCTAGAAATCTCACATACAACTTGATTTTCATTTAAGATAACAATAATCCAACACTCACCAATGATGTATATCTGGAATCCTTGAAAACCACAAATGAGTACTGTTTGCAGGGGATCGAAAACAATGTGCATCTCGACGAATCTGACGTAGGAAATCCGACACAAACGAGCACAAATAAATTTCCCGGTCTTGAGAAAGTTGTCAGTGTATTTGAAGAAGTTCTTGTATGGCCTACAAAATATCCTAACATTTTTGGACAATCTCCATTGCGCAATCAAGCTGGTGTCTTGTTATATGGCGCACCGGGAACGGGCAAAACATATTTAGTCTCACAAATATCTCGTCATTGGAATCTTCGTATGATTTCGGTGAAGGGTCCGGAGCTGCTAGCAAAATTCATTGGACAAAGCGAAGAAAATGTTCGAAATCTATTCGATAAAGCACGAAATGCGAAACCATGTGTTCTGTTTTTCGATGAGTTCGATTCGATCGCCGCGCGGCGCGGCCATGATAATACAGGTATAGAAGTAAAGTAATAAGTAACTTATTACTTATTACTTATTACTTTTCATCTTATTACTGTAATAAGATGGACTTATTACTTATTACTCATCTTATTACTTTGTATTATCTTTGTGCAGGAGTTACGGACAGGTAATCGGTGACCTCTCGTTTTTTTTGAAACATTGACAAAAAGACACATATTTAAATCTTACCGATAGGGTGGTCAATCAACTACTCACGGAGCTCGACGGGGTTGAGGAGCTGAAGGGCGTTATAGTAGTGGCAGCAACTTCGCGGCCCGATCTGTTGGATCCGGCTCTATTGCGTTCGGGACGTATCGATCGATTGGTTCAGTGTACACTCCCAGACTCTTCGGCACGGCTAAATATATTCAAACATATAGCCGAATCGTCATCATTGAAATTGACATCTGATATTAACTTCGAATTCTTTTGCGATAGTAAAACGGATAACTATACTGGTGCGGACATTAAAAGTATACTGGTTTCCGCAAATATGATAGCTGTGAAAGAGTCTATTGCCAACAATTCAGATGTAAGCTATATTACATTTTCTAATGACGGAACGTCGCCACATGCAATCTTTAATTGCTTTTGTCATCGTTTTATCATAACAGAATGTTCCCGATGAAATCTACATCAATCAAGGCCATATGATTGAAGCTTTTAAAAATACAAAACAGTCGCTATCGTATGCAGACACAATAAAATATAGATCTTTGTAAGTGGTACATGTATATATGCTAGTATGACGTAGGAATTAATAAGAGTCTATGTAGTATGTAGATATGATATTAAATTTTAAATTTTTATTACAGATACGCCAGATTTTTGAACCAAGAAGAATCCAGCCGAGTACTTTTGGGCGCACAAAGGACAACATTAGCTTAGTATTTTTATGTATTGGTTTTGTTTACAAATGATTTACGCTTTTGATTTATTCAAACGAAAAAAATAAAATAAAATTGGATAATGTTTCTGTTTAACTCCGGTTGTAACGGTTTCCTTCACCGCGGCGATGTTCGTCTTTATATTCATCCCTTGCACGTAACCGGGCTAGCTCATAGTCATCATCTACGTCCAGCTTTTTCTCTCGATCAATATCCTCTTGTTCTTCGATGTCGTTACTTTGTTCTTGCATGAATCGACTTTGCAAACTGTTATCTGCATTACGCGGTGGTGCATTGTTTGGATCGGGAAAAATGCCTTCACGAACACGTTGATCGTAGAACTCGGACACGGTCATGGTTGGCAATGAAGGATAACCCAAGCCATACACAGCTTTTTGTGCAAAATCTCTTGTGATGATGATGGGTTTGAGTGGCCGCACTGGCGGTGCTTTGCACAGTCTGCGACTGTGTGATTCCAGTTGTTGATGATCTTGTTGTTGAAATTCCAACATTTTTTTCTCCATATCAATACTCGATAATTCCTCTTGAGTTTCAATAACACTCATTTTCAGTAGTTTGACGTAAAAGTCTCGTTTTGTATCGTCGTCAACCTCTTCTCTTTTCATCACTACTTTCAAGTGTTTAATTTGATCCTCCAATTCTTTCTTCTGGCGGTATTTTTCTAGTTTTTGATTACGATGTAACACTTGCTGAGTCAACACATTGATCTGTTCGTTATTGGCATTTGCACTGGCAACTTCATTGTTGCCTGTTGTTCTTGGAACCGGCTCGTAGATACCATAGTCGGAACAACGTTTCAGAAAATCTCTATGAATCAATTGAAATTTTGTAACATTAGATTATTGTTGGCGAATACAATTTCATTTGAATTCGCATTTGCATTTCTAATTACTTGAAGTATATCTCAGCAACTTCGACAACATCTGCGCGAGAGTCACCGCAAATCTTTTGCGATAGCGTTCCGAGGAAAAACGGCAAAAGCAAGTATTTCAAATCACTGGTTGGTAGCTCTGTATAGTTTTCGTTCGTACTGAAAAGTCCGCAGATAGAAACTAAGCGTGTGCAGTCTTCGAAGAGCCGGATGCATTTCTTTATTTTGCTCTGAAAAGTTTATCAAATCATTTTTTGGTTAGCCAATAATGCTAGACACTGACGCGTAAAAGTTTTTTTAAATTAGTACCTGAAATTCGGGACTATTGGTTGGTTCAGTGCATGTTTCAAAGCTGTAGTACAAATCAAATGCTTCCTCAAAAATATCCAATAATTTGCGATCTACAGTTGTTTCGCTCATGTTGTCTTACTTCTTTTTTTAAGTATTTTATTTCGGAAAAACGAGTGGTGATGCCGTGTTGCAATTATACTGTATTATATTTATAGACTTGAAGGTTGCAAATGTCAAAAAAAAAATCCCATGTTATGGGATTTTTCTGATTTCTTCAGCCCATATTAAGCCAACTTCATGTCATACTTTGAATGTACTTTGTTGTGAAGTTGATGAAAACAACGATATATGTATACAGATTTCAAATTGTAATAATTTTTTTGAAACATTAATTTCGAGAATATATTTCGTTATAGAATAAGAAAAATGTATGAGAATAATTGATGCAAAAATGCAAAAGAGAATAATGGTAGTTGTAATAGTGGTAATAGTAATTTAGGCGCCGCACATCATGCAGTCATCCTTATTGTCGAGTGAGCAGACAAGTCCAGCCATCTGTGCCTGTAAATCTTCAGCAGTTGTTGTGTTAATTTTGTTGTCTACATCGATACTTTGGTCATTTTTCGACTGATCGTTCGTACTTCCATTTACTTTGGTGTTGAGCGCACGTGAGGCGGCCAAACGTTTCTTGTCAACGGTAAACTGGATTGGGTTGGCTGCTGGTCGGGTTCTTAAATAATACATTCCCGTTTTCAAACCAAGCTTCCATGCATAAAAGTGGATTGAAGACATTTTTGCATACGTCGGCTGGGCCACGTGAATGTTAAATGATTGACTTTGATCAATGAAAGCACCACGATCGGCGGCCATGTTCATTGTTGTCTTGACCGAAATTTCCCAAACGGTTTTATACAAATCGCCTATTGCATGAAATTGAGTTAGAAATAATCGGCAGGAATAAAAAAAAACATGTAACAATAAGATGCATTCAGTAAACTTACGGATTTCCTGAGGAATTCGAGTGATGTTCTGAATCGATCCGTAGTCCGCAATGATTTCGTTTTTCATATCATCATCCCACATACCGATTTCGGTTAAGTCCTTGATCAAATGATGATTTACCACCTGAAATTCGCCGGACAATACACGCCGATTGTAGATATTCGATGTGTATGGCTCGAACGATTCGTTGTTGCCAAGAATTTGAGCTGGTGAGATGAAAAAGATAGGGATTTTAGCTTGATTGAAGGAAATTTTAAATGAGAATTTAAAAAAAAATGTCCGTATAAAATGAAAATTAAAGCATTCTTTGGAATTGAATGCAGAAGAAACAACCAATTTCCACCGAAAATTCAATTTTTTATTTTTAAAAAATGATTTCGTTGTTTTTTTCGGACGAATTACCTGTTGAAGCCGTAGGCATTGGAGCCAGAAGCAGACTGTTACGAACGCCATGTGAAGCAATCTTCTGTTTCAATGCGTTCCAATCCCATAAATCGGTTGGTGTCTTGTCCCACATGTCATATTGCAGGATGCCTTTGCTAACCGGTGATCCTTGGTATGTTTCGTATGGCCCGTACTTTTCGGCCAATTCGCAACTTGCTTCCAAAGCACCATAGTAAATAGTTTCAAAAATCTGTTGATTCAATTTGGCTGCTTCTTCGCTTTCGTATGGAAAACGCATCAAAATGAAGGCGTCAGCCAAACCCTGAATCCCAATACCAACTGGCCGATGGCGTTTATTTGATTTTTCGGCTTCAGGCAAAGGATAATAATTTACGTCAATGATCTTGTTCAAATTACGTGTGACCACCTTCACGATTTCCTTAAGCTTTGGAAAATCATAAGTTTTATCAGGTTTGACAAACATGTTGACAGCGATCGAAGCCAAGTTACAAACGGCAATTTCATCGGTATCGGTATATTCGACGATTTCCGTGCACAAATTGCTACATCGAATTGTCCCTAAATTCTGTTGATTGCTCTTACGGTTACATGCATCCTTATACAACATATAAGGCGTACCGGTCTCAACTTGTGACTGTACTATATGGAACCAAAGATCACGAGCCTTGACTTGGCGATCATATCGACCTTCACTCTCATATTTCGTATAAAGCGTTTCAAACTCTACACCCCACACCGTGTACAAATTGGGAGATTTGTGTGGACACATCAAACTCCACATTTCATCAGCTTCAACACGTTTCATAAATAAATCCGGAATCCACAAAGCCAAGAACAAATCGCGACAACGCTCCTGAAAAACAACATTGTTTTCCATCGGTTAAATTGATTCCTTATCTTTCCAGTAAACATATCGATGTTTCAGACAATTTTTCGCACAATTTCTGGATTCGTTAGTTGGAATTTTGCGAAAATTTATCTGAATATTAGCTAATAATTTATTGGAATAAAATTTGCTTACGTCCTCGTGACCTGTATTTTTGCGCAAATTCAAAAAGTCAAATATATCCGCATGCCACGGTTCTAGGTAGCAGGCAAACGCACCCGGTCTTTTATTCCCGCCCTGGTCGACATATCGCGCCGTTGCATTATAGACGCGAAGCATTGGGACAATACCATTTGACACACCATTTGTTCCAGCAATATGGGTTCCTTTAGCTCGTATATTATGAATACTGAGACCAATACCTAGGAAAAATTCGAATGTGAAAACTAGTTAGCATTCAAAATAGCTGAATTGTAAACTCAAACCAATACCTCCAGCGTGCTTTGAAATGGAATGGCGTCAATGGGAAAATTGTTGAAATTAAGAAAAATAATTAATAAAAAAAATTAAAATTTAAATTAATTATTCAAAAATCATTAATTTACCTTTGATATCTTGGCACAACGAGACACAGTTTCATAAATACCACTTATACTATCATCGGTCATGGAGAGCAAAAAACAAGAACTGAGCTGTGGTCGCGGCGTTCCAGCGGCAAACAACGTCGGCGATGCATGTGTAAAGTATTTCTCTGATAACAGATTGTAAGTTTCGATGGCACTGTCTATATCATCACCATGTATTCCAACAGCTGTTCTCATCAACATGTGCTGTGGACGCTCAACAATTTTCCCATTGATGCGCAACAAATAAGAACGCTCGAGCGTTTTGAAACCAAAATAATTATAATTAAAATCCCGATCGTATATGATGGCTGAATTCAAGCGGTTCGCATGCTTCATAACAATGTCGTAGATGGAATTGCTAATCATCGGTGTGCGACGACCATCTCTTTCCAAGTTGTACAAATCCGTTATGACATCTGAAATGTTCACATTCAGTTGTTCAATATGAGAGATAAAACTGATTTGATGAATTATTTATGCATGGATGTTCAATGAATGTACCTGAAAACGACTTCTTTGTCTCTTTATGTAAATTAGAAACAGTGATGCGGGCCGCGAGCACAGCATAGTCGGCATGATCGGTAGTCATTGTCGCAGCTGTTTCAGCAGCCAATGTATCGAGTTCTTGAGTTGTAACACCTGTATAGAGCCCATTGATCACTTGTAATGTGATTGAAACCTAGAGAACATTACAATAAAAAAAAGCAATGAAAAACTACATTTACAACATTTCTCCTATATTCTCTTTCAATTACCGGATCCACAAAGTCCATGTTAAGGCCATAGCACAACTTCTGAATTCGAGACGTTATTTTATCGAAGTGAACTTCTTCTTTGCGTCCATCTACATAGAAAATGGAACGAATTCAATTTAGCCTGGAAATATCTTGAAAAAAAACTCTCTACATACCCCGCTTATGGACAAACATTCGCGAAGATTTTCCCATTTTGCTCTTAATGTTATCTTCCTACTATGTATTCGAATTAATCGAACGAAACTAAAACTTTGGAATGACTGAAATAAAAGCAAGGCATACACAATCAGGAGATGCTATTGAATTGACTGAACCAAACACAAAATTCTGAATAACTGGAATCAAAATATGATCTTTCCGAGATGCTGTTTAATTTACTGGACGAAACAAAAACTTATGTGTGACTGAAATTAAAGCATGCACTATCGAAGATGCGTCGTTATTACAATTGGCGCGAAAAAAATGACAGATGCCACACCAAGTGGCAAATATGGAAACTAACTCGTGGGATATTTTTCAATGATGTTTAACCTAAATTCTTGGCATGAATTCAAAACAAATGTTTGCCTTCGAAATTAATATAAAATTTCACCCAAATAATTAATTTCATTAATTTCATTAATTTTACTACAGAGTTTATATATATAAGACTATTAAAATAATTTTTAAAAACTGGACGAATCTATGCGATGCAGATGAAATAAATTAAAAGGGCGGCTTCCATGAAATTTCAAAAGTGGCTCGGTGATATTATACCCATGTGAGAGAACTTTGCGATTTCGAGGTCGATGGATCATTTTGGCCTAAATCAAAAGAGGAAAAGTGATAAAAAAACAGTTTTTTCTGAAATATAAATAAAATTTCATTGTGCATTCCTTATTTGGAATGGAAAAAAGGTTAAAGACGGTCTTTTGAAGCTCTCCATTCGATCATTTAAACTAGAATGTTAACTAATGTAATCATAAATTACATTTTAATAATACAAGGAAGCATTTCTGCGAACGCAATGAAGTAATAGATTAATTACTTTTCATTAAATTTCCCTTCAGAAATGCCACACAAATTGCCTATTTTTCCCACTTGATTAAGAAAAATTTCGGAATAAACAATTCTTAAATAATGAAAATATTCAATCATAACTAACGTCTTATAGATGTGAAATCCTTGAGATAAACATCTTTGTTAAGAGGTTGGACAGACGGAATGTTGTTACTTCGTCTCGTACGTTCAACCAGAGATTTCTCTTTACGAGGTATTTCCTGAAGAAGAAAATGAAACATAAACTTCCAATTCATCACATTTATATCCATATGAAAAAAAATATTGAATTACTGGTACTACAGCTACGGTCACTGTGTTTGAAAATTTCACTTTATTTTTTTCACCATTTTCCTTCTTTGAGTTAGGGATCGGCTGTTGTTGTTGTTGTGGGGGTGTTGATAGAATTGATGAATATATATTTGTTGGATGTAGATGTGCTTGCTCCAATGGCATATGCATTGGCAACGGCAATGGCATCTTTTTTCGATGCTCGGTGTGATATGTGGGAGGGATGTGGCCAGAAACCAACGGATGATGTATGATTGTTGGCAAATATCCAGGAAAATTGTGCACGCTCCATGGTTTGTTGGGCTCAGTGTTCATGTGATCCATATTGGATGGACTCGCGATCGGAATGCCAATCGTTTGGTCAGGTATGCTCCACTCTTGCGTTAATTGTGGTTTTGGTACAATATCTACAACATGATGATGCCGTGGAATAGATTGTGGAAGTTGTGCACTATTTGTTTGCCCTTTCTCGTGCTGTTGATACTTCAATGGATCTGGTATATTAGTAGAATTGATATGATCGACGTGGTCATCTGAACAACTGCTTTCCAGCCTAGCTAATTTAGTTAAAGCGGCTGATGATGAAGATTCCACACTAAAGTCAACTTCGCTTTTGCTATGCGAAATTTTGGGAGGTTTTACCGTAGAATAGTTCAGCATTTTTCTATTCGTCCTGCTTGAATTTACATGATCTGCTATGGGCTGTGGCATTTTCACAACTGTGTTTTTGGAATAATTTGAAACTTTCAGTTCGGGCTTTGGAATTGAAAATGCAGCTGCGTACATTGTTTCTTTCTTCTGGACGACTTTCGATGGATGGTTGCTTTTGTAAGGCTTTTTTTGATGAGATTCATCCTTCCATGACATTTCCGTTTCTGATTCATCATCAGCGGAGGAATTTGTCAAACATACGGAGCAAGAGTCTCGCGAGCACGTCGAATCTATTCACAATAAATATATTTATATATAATTAAGATGAAGCGGAATTAAATCCAACAATAAGGAAAAGCAAAACGTCTAATAGTTCAATTTTTACATGTATAGAAGACTTTTGTGACATACGTGAACTCTGTCTGCTATCTGGACGTGCAATGATTAGTTCGGCTTTACGGAACGCGTCCTGAGCCAACTCCAAATTACCATCTTGTTTAGCACAATTCGATAAATCCATGAAAATATCCTCATCGTCTATGTCGATTGCCAAATTAAATGCTTTTTCGTATGACCTATTCCTGAGCAGGTATTGGAAAAACTTCCTCGTTATATCCCTAACTTGATCGCCAAACTCTGTTTGTGTTTCTTCGCATAGCGGTTTTACGGGAATTAGAAAGCTGCCGAGTGCCTTAGTTAATTGTGCTTCTCTCTCCTGTTGAAACGGCTGCCTGAATATATAGTTTGCTATTTTGTGTAGGCTTATCATCAACATAGCACCGTACACATCCCAATTTAAACATAATAAAATATTAATCGCTTTCTCAACACTGTTCAATTTCAAATACTGTTGAATCAGAACATCTGCAGTGAAACCAGATGTATGGAAATCGCCTTTCAGACCACTTCCGCCGAACAAACGTAAAATGGTGATCGGACCATTTTCAAACAGTAACAAAACATACGAATCGCATTGAATGTAATTTTCGTTGTATTGCACCAAGTCGGGTTTCTTACTGCACATGAGTTGTAACAGCATGGGTTGGGCCATAAAGTAAGCTGTTAAATCGAGAACACCAACCGATGTCATTTCTTCGTTTAGAATGTGATTTCGAATACACGATAGCGATATATCAAAACACTGAATTTGACATTTTTCATTTGCTATCATCAAAATGGCTGAGTCGGCATGGAATGACACCATCGTTGGAATGAATGCTGCCTTTATGAGATGAGTTATTCCCCTTTCGTCAAAAAGTATAATTGATGCATCAATACAGCCCAACATCAATTTCTCATTATCTGGACTGAATGAATGGCAGCAAACTTGAGATTGTAATGGAATCGACGTAGTCGACATTCGCGTCATTTTCGATTTATTCACTTCGTATACGCATATTTCAACGGTCACTTCACCCTGGAAAAATAAAAATTACAGCAATTAAAATTTGAAATTGATACTATTGAAATATTTGACTAGAACAGAACCTTTCTCGACATCTTTTGTTCAACGGATCGCAACTGATTTTGATTCAGTTTGGAAAACTCCACATTGATTGGATCATTTTCGGTCCAGTGAAAACATAAAAGATCAATTTTATTTCGGCTCAGTCTGTAAATGTGAATATTAGCCCGATCTTGATCACGAACGGTAGGCCGCCATGGATACACTTCATTCTGCGATGACTTTGTCCATACGGTCAACAAATCAGAGCTAGTATTGCATGCTAAGTGTCTCGCGATTTTTTTCGTATGTGTCCCACTGATGATTATGTTGAAAATTTTCGGATCCATTCGACTGATTTTTGCAGGTGCATTTTTTTTTAGATTGGGCTTGTGCAGGTACACGAATGTCAATTGATTTATATCATATGAAATTAAGATATGCATTCGAGTCATTATAACATTTGTCACCGATTCTGATATCAGCTTGCCGACAAAAAATCGATCAAACGCCATCCGACTAATATCTCCAGTGAAAATGTTTATACAAATATGGACCAAGAGTCCATTCGAAAGTAAAATCGAAATTATAGCATTATCAGTCCAATTGCAATGTACTATTCGGTGGCACTTTAGCATGTCTTCCAATTTCTTAACCGAGTTCTTTAGCTGCTTTGTCTTTCTTCCGTGCAATATATACTCTTGGTCTCGAAAATGGGCATATTCTTGTTTACCATCCACATATGGATTTGCTGCTGCCGTCTTCTTTTCGGTATACCTTTTCATATTGGATTTCAGAAAGTTGGTTTAGATCATGGAATTCAATGAGAATAATATATATATTGCCTTGTATTTTTACTCTACTCACTTGAATGCACCGAAATCGGTTTCCTTGATAGTAATGTCATCCCGTGCAGTTAAAAATTTTACTTCGCTCAATAGAGTCAACATTTTTCATGCTCGCACAATATTATAAATAATATATTTAAACCGAAAATTTATCTCGATTCAATAATCATCTGGTTTCTACAAATAATCAACATTCTCAGAAAACTCGCAATCTTTTCACAGGAATTATTTTTATTAATAAAATAATATATGGACGAAAGTAATTATCACTAAAATTCTTTACTTAATAAAAAATATAATCATCGTAATCAAAATAAATACAATGGAATTCGCATACATAACAAATTTGACATCCAAGCAACAGGTGCCATAAAATACTTTCTTATATTTGAAGTTTTATAGTTGGTGTGCAAAGTGCACTGTTCAAATTTTTCAATTTGAGTTGAAATGAATCCATTAGTCGGTTGAATGGATGTTATTTTCGTTTTTTTAATTTTAAATATCAACACAATTTGTTTATCAAATTAAAATTATCAAAATTGATATGAATGATTCAAATTGGAGAGAAAATTAATAATAAACCAATTTTTGTTAATAGGGATCATGAAACGTCATTTTACATGTATTTATGTTTATAATAAACCCAATAATCTCCTAGCACTTCAGTCGATCTACGTCGTTTAATGAGTAAAGTGTGAAGACACTGTTGTTGTTATCGTAATTAGTTCTAATGTTGTAATTTTGCTGTTCTTTGATTTTATTTTCAACGCAAAACATATTATCAAGGAAAATCATATTATCATACGACATAGTCTCAATTTACAACAAATCAGTCCGAAAATGAAGACCACTCCGAAAGTATACGTGATTGGTGTTGGCATGACCAAAGTACGTAGGAATACATTATCATCAAACAATTGTAAAAAACAAAAAAGACCTAACGTTACTTTGACCCCAAAAAAAATTGTTTGTTTCACTTCATTATATTCCATGTTTCCATCCAAGCGATATGCAAATTCAAATTGAAAAAAATTAAATGTGTACTTGATTCATTCGTCAGCCCAGTTTATTCATTTTAACATATTTTTGGCCTGCTAATTATGTATTTTTTATTGTTGTTATACAGTTCGAGAAACCGGGACGAAGAGATGACTTTGATTACCCGCAAATGGTTAAAGAATCGGTGTCCAAAGCTCTTACAGATGCAAATATCAAGTACACTGATTTGAAACAGGCTGTTGTTGGTTATGTTTATGGTTCGTGATATAGAAATAGAAATGGGCGAATTCCATTCGTGATGTTGATTGGTTGAAAACAGGTGTTTAATTCTTTTATTCCGTTGATAGGTGAATCGACGAGTGGACAGCGAGCATTGTATGAAATTGGAATGACCGGCATTCCAATTTACAATTGCAATAGCAACTGTTCGACAGGTGCGAATGCATTAATATTGGCCAAACAACTTATTGAAACGGGACAAAACGATTGCGTGTTGGCTGTTGGTTTCGAAAAAATGGAGCGAGGCTCGTTAGGTGCCAAAGTAATGAACACGATTGATAAAGAAAACTCAATTGATTATGATATTTATGAATTACACTTACATTTCCAGTATACTGACCGGACGTTGCCAATGGATAAGCACATCGAACTGATGTCTAACCATTTCGATATTACCGGTGCTCCAATGACAGCACAACTCTTTGGCAATGCTGGCATTGAGCACATAAAAAAGTACGGCACAAAGCCTGAACACTTCGCAAAAATTGCCCAAAAAAATCATAAACATTCCGTAAATAACCCATATGCTCAGTTTCAAGAGGAATATAGTTTGCAACAAGTTCAGAGTTCGCCGCAAGTTCATGGATTATTGACTCGTTTGCAATGTTCCCCCACATCCGATGGATCAGCTGCGGCAATTTTAGCATCCGAAGACTTTGTTCGGCGTAATCGTTTAGAATCAAAAGCAGTTGAAATTGTTGGCATGGAAATGACCAGCGATCCAGCTTCTACGTTCTCCAATAACAGTATGATTAGTGTTATTGGCTACGACATGACGAAATTGGCGGCCGACCGGCTTTTTGCAAAAACACAATACAAACCACAGGACGTTGACGTTATCGAACTGCATGACTGTTTTTCGACAAATGAGCTGATTACCTATGAAGCGCTAGGACTATGTGGTGTCGGACAGGGTGGAACTTTAGTTGATCGTGGTGATAACACATACGGAGGCAAATTTGTTATCAATCCAAGCGGTGGTTTGATTTCCAAAGGCCATCCTTTGGGTGCCACTGGACTTGCACAGTGTGCCGAGCTAACATGGCAATTGAGAGGGGAAGCGGGCAAACGTCAAGTTCAAGGTGCTAAGCTAGCCTTGCAACATAACATCGGTTTGGGTGGTGCAGTCGTAGTGGGGCTTTATCGTCTGGGTTTCCCGGATGCTGCGGCTGTCACTGACACTGCCCCAAAGACATCTGCACAGAATAAAACATTGGGCGGAACCAATACAGCGGCGAATCAATTCAGCCCCGATGGAAAGGGATTTGCGGTTACGCCCTATTTACGTGTTCTCGAAATAGCGATGCAAGAAGATCAAGATAATTTAATTGAAAGAGTGCGTGGAATTTATGGCTTTCGTGTTACACACGGTCCCAATGGCGCCACTGGGTACTGGATAATCAATGCTAAAACTGGAAAGGGTTCGGTAACATATAATGGCAAAGAGAAGCCGGATGTAACGTTTGTAATGAAAGATAATGACGTGGTTGAGTTAATTTCTGGAAAACTTCAACCACAGAAAGCATTTTTCCAAGGGAAGGTGAAAGTGCAAGGAAACATGGGTATGTATAAGTATCATGCACAACTGATAAAAGATGGCCAGATTGGTGTGTATTCAGCAAAGTTGTAGCACTTCATCTGCTCTATAACCACCTTTTATTCCCATCGATACATTGGCTGCTTTGAAAAAGTTTGAAAACACTTGACATATGTAACTATGAAAACGATTCTTCTAACGTTGTTCAAACACCATGAAAAATATCAATGATTTAGGTCTTTTCGAAACATCATGTAAATAACATTCGCTGTAAAACATGTCAGGTGTTTCCAAATTTTGCAGGGTAATGCACATTATTTAATATTTATGTATTATGATTTATTTCTCAATTTTTAACATAGGTCTGGCGATGAAACTGATTGATTTGCAGAAAACTGCACAGAGTCGTATTGAGGAACTTAAAGCTAAATTGTAAATTGTAATTTGATGAAACTACTATGTGGGGATATATGGGGAAATTTTCAATCGCAAAGCGAATACTCTTTCTATTTGTATCTTGGAACTGATGTGGAAAATGTTGGTTTTGGTGATATTTTAATAAAAACATCTGCAACTTATTTGATTTGCTGTCAAAAAACTTCATTTTATTTCAAATTGTATATAATTATTATTTCTAAGAAAGTTGTACATTGCGCCACGATTTATATCCGATCCCTTGATTCTACACTTTCCGAGCTGAGAGTACCTGCATAGTATGAAATAAAGAGGTAGGTTATCTGAGAATAATTTCACGAACGAACAGCAAGTCTCTAATGCTATTGTTTAATATGCTAAGTAAACAAACAGTAAAACAACAAACTGCTACAACACACCACATGATGTATAAAGGAAAGGAATGTGTCTGAGGAGGAATTATTGAAAAAAAGCAGTGCAAACTCACAATAGTAGAGAAAATAAAATTTAACAATCCATCGATTTCCAAAATTGTTTCAATTGTGTGAATTGATTTGACAGTTCTTGAGATCGATGTGCGCAAACAAACGTAAAAAATATAAATATATTATTTATTTAAACAAGTATTATGGCATTTATTTCATTCAGCTGTAACTGTAATCGCAAATCGCAAGTAACAAATCGGTATATCTTCTATGTCAGAACACATATAAAGTCTACATTAGTGATAATCGAAGAAAACTTCAAATTTCGTGCAACAAAAATCTCTGGTTTGCGAGTAAAGTTTCCGTGGGTATACAGCAACTCATGCTCATATTTATAAATCAATGGGAATGTCTAAAACGTTTGACGATCCCATTCATCGGAATCAAGAATGCTACTATTTTCACTACTACTACCTTTGCGATTTGATTTCTTTTTGATTGGAACTTCTGGTGAATAATTTCTATAGTTGCGACCACGATAAAATTCGGGAGATCTCGGTGGTGACCGCGGTGGACTGAAATCTGTTTCCGTTTCATACAAGTCCGCTGGATAGTCGTCTGGACTGTATCGGTTGTTTTCGTATCGATTTGGCTCCACAAAATTGGCCACAAATCGATGATCAGGCGGAGGTGGAGACATCAAACGACCTTCGATAACAAATATTTTATAATATGTATACATTATACATTCTACTAAGAATAATCTGAAATAAGATTACCCAATGGAGCTGGCCGCATTTCGTTTGGCAACGGCAATGGTGGTGGTGGCATAAATGGTGTCATACCAGAATACATTGGGGCCGGTATCAATGGTGGCGGTGGCAAATTCAATGGAGGCAACCCAGGCGAGCTAGGTGATTCCAGATGGATGGGGGATGGCGCGTTTAGATCGGGTATGAAACCATCTATAGGATTACCTGCAATAAAACGGAGAATTTCATAAATGAACCAAGGTCGCTTTCTTCGTATACAAATACATTGGAAAGATTTGACGTAAGACGTCAAGACGCCTCTACGCGTGGAATGCTCGAAGCTGTCATCGTACACATATTGAACACGAACATTGTCGTTTACACAATCGCACTCACACAAATGAACGCATCGATAGTGCCCGCTCAATATATGAACGATGAGTGTTTTGAGTGTCCCTCGCCTAGAGTGCTGCGTGTCGTTTTTCTTCGTTTATTAAGCGATCTTGAATGAACAAAAATACATGACACACAAATCTTCAATGCGTTTGTTAGTTCAGACAATTTGTTCAACTTTGCTTGTTTACACTTACGAGTAAAATTATTTTCAGATGTCGTTCCATTGAATGACGTAAGACTTGTCAATTTCTTCCTTAGAATGCTTGCTTCAGATCTCGCTTCCTCAAGCCGGCGTTCTGCTTGTTTTGCTGCCAGCCATGAATCATGCGCTCTTACTTCGGCGGCATTTATTTGAGCCTTATGTGCAGCGGATTGAGCTTCGATTTCAGCACGAAGTTCATCGTTTTGTGATCTCAATTTTTGTATATCCTCTTGTAAACTTCGAATTCTATCGACGGTTGTGGTCGATTCACCCTGTTGTTTCATAAATAATGCTTCTTTAACATTCAGTTCCCTAATCCATAATGAAACAGAAACAGTAAAATATCAAACTATGGTCGCAAAATATACTATATATCGTTCAATCAACTGAAATAAGAATAACAATCATATTATTGATCACAATTAATTTTCATTCTATACTCACTTTTGCAGCTGAGATTCCTTCTCCTTGAAGTAATTCGATAGCACATTTAGCCGCGTCTCAGCTTCTAGCTTGTCTTTTTCGTGTTGATTAAATTCAGTACGAAGACGTGTGATTTCTTCATTCAATTCCTTAATTTGTTCCTGCAGACGGTTTTTACTCTCTAATTCAGAATCTAGTCGATCGCTCAATGATTCGTTTTCTCTTTTCAATGCAATACAATTGGCATTGGCATCGGTTGCTTCAATAATTGATTTGATATCATCTTTTCCATTGAATGTTTCCATCTTTTTTATGCTTTCTTCTAAAGCTTCTGCCCGAGCTGCACTCGATCGCCATTTAGACACAATTTCATCGTATTTCTTTTTTAATTCGTTGTATTTCTCTTTCAAACTGGAAACTTCATTTGATTTCGCTTCTACTTTTTCTTTCAATTCAGCTTCAAGCGAATGCATTTTTACATTTAGACTTTCTTCGAGTGTTGTTTTGTCGACTTCAAGTTGTTTGTTCAGTCTTAACAGTTCCTGAATCTCTGCGCCAAATCTTTGATTCGTATCTGATAATAGCACCTGTAGTTCACTGTTTTCACGACTTTTTTCGGCTAACAAGTTGTTTATGTATATCATATTGGCCTCCTGTTCATTTAGCTGGTGTTGCAATTCCTCAACACTATTTATGATCGAATCACTACCACTTTGATTGCTCAATAGTTCTTGAACCATTTTATTCAGTTCCAAACCAGCTTCAGCGGCTGTTTCCAGCTCTTTCTCTAGAGACGCAATCTGTTCACACAATTCATTTTTCTCCGCTTCGTACTGCTTGATCATGTCATCGGCCCCAAAGGATTTATCTGCAATGCTATTCAGTTTTCTAGCAGTTTCGGACAGATCTGCTTCCGTCACTTCACATTCTTTTTGTGACACTAATAGTTTCCTTTCCAAAGTGTTCAGCTGCGCAATCAGTAAACTTTCTCTACGATGATTCACAAGACAATAATGGCCAAAAATAAAGATTAGGATGGCGGAAGCAGTTAAAAGTAGTAGAACTACTAAGTCAGCTCTGGCAATGATCTGAGTTAGAAAGTCGTCGACAAGTTTACTATCAACCTTAATCTTAGATAAATTTTCCAAGTAACTAGAAGGAATGAACTTTGGTTGATTCTTTGGGCAATGTTCCCCTTGCAAATTTTCACAGTATCCATCGAGTGGATTTTCCACATTCACAGATTCCTCCTTATTATCATCTGCACTTGAATTATTGTCAAATATTTTCTTCACACTAGCAAAAGTATCCTCTACAAAAATCAGTATACCATCATACCAATTCGTTTCTTCGTTTTCACTGGTTTGTGCTGGCGGTGTTTCTGGTTGAAAATATGGTGAAAAAATGTCATCAGTTTTTACAACATTTTCCGGGAGTTGAGATGGTGAATCTGTTGACAACTTTGACTCACTATCATAGCTTTGTTCGTGAGAGTAGTTCACTTCATTTTCAATTATTTCCGGATTTTGTTCAACAATATTTTGAGTTGTTGGGATGGTTGTACTCTCCTCAATTTCTTTATTAGCATGTTGTTGTATTAATTCTGGAGTAACAATTGGTTCTGGAATATCCATTCGGCTTGCTTCTGTGGTGTAATATTTGTCTGCATTCTCTACATCTTTTTCGAAAGTATCTTCTTGAATTTGATCACTTTGTATAGGGATTTCATTGTTGCTACTATTTGCTAAATATTCTAGGTTGCTTTCATGCACCAATTGTTCGTCTTTATCATTTTCTATTCTGCTTGATTCTGGTATATTTACTGTATCTGGTATATCTGGTGTATCTGGTGTATCCGGTGTATCTGGTGTATCTGGAGTATTTGGTGTATCTGGTGTATCTAATGTATCATCAGTGATAGGAGTGATATCATATGTGCTTTTAGAATCACCCAATAGTATCGTACCAATTCCCAATGTTTCATTGTCCTCGAATGATTGTGATTCTTTAATATCAGAACTTTCCGAATTAGAATTCGACGTAACAATCGGGTTTAAAACTGGTTCAATTTGTTCAACTAGATTTATTGCAATTCGATCTGAAACTGGTTCGATTGTCTCAATTTGATTTGTTGGTGCAGCACCTTCCATTCCATTATTAGTGGTAAAACTTTCATCTGCATATGGTGCATTGTTGTTTTGCTGTTCTTCTATTTGTGGAAGTTCCTCAGATTTTACATTTACATTTGATGGTTGGCCGTTCAAACTATTTTGACTTTCTGATTGTTCTTGAGATGTGACTTCCAGCGGTGTGCCGTTTTCTTCAGTGACAATAGTATTATCTGACCTTTCAATCTCAATGTCAATTTCTTCTTCAACTATTTTCGATTTTTCTTCATTAGTATTTAAGCCAACTACTTCCAAATGAATATCAACGTTCTCGTTGCTTATATTTTGTTCGCCACTATCACCGGTCTTGTACATATCACGTTTAATTGCGAGTGGTTCATTTACTGGAATTTGATCCGAATAGCCTTGTTCATCAGCGTCATCATCGTCATTCTCCCCTTTTTCTTTCTGGTCTTGATCATTCTCTTTTTGCAGTTGTGAATGGGCATCAGAGGTTTGTTCGACTTTGTCATTGATGACTTGTTCGTCTGTCTTTGGAACATCCGATGGTTCAGCATACAGCATAGGGCTTTCCGCGTTGGTCGTTGTATTCTCTGCTACTCCATCTTCTCGATCAGGCTCGTCCGCACTACCCACTTGAACTAAATCGGCCGCCTTTATCAGTATTTTCTGTTCCATTATCATTTTCTTAGGGGCATAACCACGGCGCCCTTGAACCTAAATATGAAAAACAGGTTTGCATCAAAAATGTTGTTTGTATAATCGTAGCATGCGCGAATAATAATTGCGAGGTGTACCTCAATTTCCCAGAGATCTGAATTGTCGCCGATCGATTTCGACATTACTCGACATGGTGTATTGCCTCTAAAAGCGACATGATTCGAATGACTTGGCTGATAATTGATTACTGTCCTTGCAATCGATATTATTGCTGAAAATTCAGAAAATGTTATTCCTCTATCACAAATCAAACGCCCATTGAATCATGCTTAAATTTATGGGCTCTTTGAAAACCAAATATTATCGCAAATGAATCGGAAACAACGATACTTACTTTCACATTTTTGTTCTCCACACAAACGTATGCTAGGAACTCTGCCTTGGGCCAAAGAAACAATCAGTGTCAATAGGAAAACTTTAGTTAAACTCATCATCTTTCTTCTCTAATGGTATTAATGTTAAAAAATGTTCATTTTCTCATGAGAAGTACTTGTTTTTTGGCCACATCACACCATCGAAATATTTTTCTTAGTATAGTTGGCATTTTGACAGTTATCTGTCACTTCCAGATACTGTCAAGTCGAGTGAGTCTCAAAGGGGGAGAATGTGCTGCTGTCGGGAGGACCAAGTATATTTAAAGTATACATTCTGGCGTAAGTAGTTTGTTCATATGCAAGTTATATAACTGTTGATCAGAGATTAAAATTGAATTTCTATAAGCTTGCAAGGATATATAGTGCGGTTGACTATGACTTAATATTTCAACGAATAACTTGATATTCTCCATTTGAGATAGACGTGAGAGGTGTTATATAAAACCATTAGCTTGTTTCTTTTTTGCTTGTAAAATACAAATTTGCTTTATCATTTCATCATATTGATCGGTAAATGAACAGTATTGTGTGTGCGTTATTTTCCACGGGAATGACGTAGTTGAGAATTTATTTTATTAGAAAACAAACTCAAGTGATGCGCACATTGAATTATTGATACCGCATAAATTTACAGTAACTATTACTCCGATTTACTCCGATTTGAGGTAAAATGTTTTCAAAGTAATTAATTTTCCTCTTGAAAAATTTTATGTTTAATAACTTCTTATGCACATTCCTATTGAAAACATCTTACTCCCATATTTTTGAGAAAAAAATACTATACTTTATGCTACTTTCGTTTGGCTTTACTGTACTCTAATTGAACCAATATATAAATCGCAAAACGACAAGTGGCTTAGTTTAGTTCAGAGTGACTCTCGCTTGTGGTTGGACGTGATTACAGTGTGATATTACTTTAATCGAAACTATTGTCAGACAATTGCATAATTTACGTAGATAGAAATTCATATACAAACAAATGTAAAAATGAAATACATAACAGAATAACTTTATGTTCTTGCAATCAAGTTTGAGTAGAACTTAAACTATACGTGAGGTTTTACTGGATGCTACGAATTTTTTTAATCCTTTCCCGTTACCCAACGCTCGTACGTCTAAGAACATATGGGTCAGTGATCGAAAATTCTGAAATGCATGAACACGCATGAATGAGCTATTTTGAGTGTTCGGTATTGCAATCTTAAAATACTTTATATTCGTTTAGGAATCAAAATCACAGCATCGTTGTCGTTGATTTGATGTTATTTTTTGTTTTTGTTTCGTTTTTGCTTGAGGATTGACCACATGTTAATATCAGCTGAGAAATAAACATTTTTAAATATTGTGTAAAACCTAAAAAGGTGATTTGGAGAAGAATAATAATAATTAAAGTTGAATCATATTATTATAATCAATTTGTGTACATTTTATTCGATAGAAATCAAAATGTGGCTGAAAGTTCATTTCGTTTTGATGCTAATGTTGACAATTTCAACAAACAACATGACAAGCGCATTGAAAATTCTTGGAATTTTCCCACATCCGGGATTGAGCCATTTTCATTTTTTTCACCCAATAATGCGAGGATTAGCTGATGCAGGTCATGATGTTACTGTCGTTAGTCATTTCCCAGACAAAAATGCACCACAGAATTATATCGATATGCCATTGAC